AAAATGAACAAAAGGTCCATTCAAAGTGCTTGGTATGACGGTATGTTAGGGCTAGTGACTACAAACCAAAAAACCCGGTAAACGTCTAAGACGTGATGTTGACTATTGACAATAGGTGTCCACATTTTTCTTCAGATAGCGGTTACCGCAGAACACCTCACAAACGGGCGGACTCAAACAATACTGTCACCCCTTTACTCGGAGCGACTGTTGAACGATGTGCTCTGTTATGTTCAGAGGACGACGACTGTTACAACTTTAATTTCAACCGTCAAAGTACAGACAACCCTTGCGAGATAATTCAGGAAGAGTCTACAGTCTACGAGGACAATGCAGACTGGGATCACTATTCTCTTTAGGCGTAGCCCCAGAATGATTTGGCCAAGCGGTCAGAGACGTAAGAATTTGAAATAGTTTCCTGCCTTAAGAAGCAAGGACCCGCTAGTCGTGTTTTAGACATTTCAGTTTCGTCTGACTGGGATCCGTTGTCTGTTAATTCCATACCCCCCACGTTTGTTTCATGTCCTCACACACAGCGCTGAACTGTTGGTGAAGAAATCTATTACATGCCTATGGGCAGCGGGAAAACCGTAGAAGCCATTCTGTAATTCTTAGTGATCAATGGGCAGTGGGGTAGCCCAGTGGTTATAGCGTTCGCTCGTCACGCTGAATACTTCCGGAAGGTCGTCAGTGTACCCAAGACACGAGGATATCATCAAACTACATTGTAAATCTATCACATTTCCATCCAGCTCCTGTGACATTGGTGGATTGGTCTACCTGTCCACTTTACGTTTCAGCATCACATGTATGAACTGCGTGCAATTCGTGCCATGTTTAGTTACTGTAAAAAATGGTAATAACAATAAATGGTAATAACAGTAGGTTATTTTGTTTCATGTATTGTCAAGGGGTTTGTATAGCAAGACATGGCACACATGCACTGTCATTTCTAGATAACCATGTTCACCTGCGCTATTGCTTTAAAACAAAAGGACGTCAATAAAATACATCCTGTCAGTTAATCTTTTTTCCATCTCCCGTTGGTCTTAAATAGTTGTTTTATCACTGTCAAATCACCGTTGGTTATTTCAGTGTTGGTATGGGACAAATGGAATATTACATACAGTTATGGGTGCTAGTGGGCGAGCTGGCTTGTGATCCAGCGTGGTTGAGTTGTCGGGATCGAGCCCACCTGTGACCGTGTGTAAAAACCTTGGAGTCAACTTTGTGTGCAGACTCTTTCAGTGTTGTCATAACCCCTAGTGTACAGTACACAACCCTGTGCACTTAAGAAGAACCCTTGAATCCGTTGGTATATGACCAGATGGTGGCCACATGGATACGCGCAAACACCTAGTTGCGGGTACAGCAACGTGCAGTGAACTTGGACAAACTACTGTGACAATGTGTCCCAGTCCACCCAGCTGTGAATTGGTACCTCGTAAGGATGGGAAGCCCATTAACTCGGTGCGCCTAGTGGCTGCAAGAGTTGCATCTTCCCCAGGGAGTTGGGATTGAAAATACGATGTGCCATTGAGAGTGACATCCAATGATCGAGGGAAAAATACCAGCGCCTCGAGCATACTAGTAGCGTGGATATGTGAACTATATACATATCCTATATATATCCAATAATAGTTGAAGAAGCTACTCGTACAACCAACATGTAGTAGTAATAATCTTCAGAAGAATAGGAGAGACAAAAGATAGGAGATAACAGAAAATGGGCGGGATGGTTTCAAACGGAATTTGTTCCTGAGGACAGTCAAGGCTAGGTATCCTTATGGTATCATTTTGAACGGACGTTCTTTATCTATACGCAAAATATATTAATGCTGTCTCGATCCTGATCTTGGCGTGCCCAAGATGGTTCACGTTTAACACCTGCATCAGTTGTCAGTTGAATGAAACTGCCTGGAAGTGATATGTGTGGATATGGCGGTAGATATTCCATGAGTTGTATCTCCATGAAATTAGAACCATGTCGAGAGAGTGGCGATAATTCCTTACCGTCAACACAGTACTTGACATTTGAGACTACCCTACCAGCTTCTGTGTATAAAAGAATATGTATGTACAAAACGCCAGTTTAAAAGAACATCCAGTTTTGAAAAGGGAAAATAGCTGTGAAATGTTATCAAGAAAAGGGAGAGCATGTTCCGATATACCTGGTAGCAGCTGCCAGTCACACCATCTGCCCTGAAAAACACACACACACACACACACGCACGCACGCACGCACGCGCGCGCGAATTCGAATAAATAACATAAACAATATTTCTTTATTACTTTTGTTATTTTACTAATAAAATGGTTTCCTTTATGTTTTCGCAGGAAACAACACCTTACGTTAACCATTAAACGAACTGATATATACTGAACTGCAAAAGAAACGCAAGTTACTATGTTCAAAACATACGTTCCAAATGAAATCCTTTTAGGACAACAAAGTATACCATTATAGAACCAAGCATTCGAAGATGGTTTTGCCGTTGTTGCCGCTTATTCTTGACCATATCGCCCAAACGCAATCATTTTCATGTTTTTCGTGTTTTTTTGCATGAAGTTTTTGTGTTTCACACAAAAATGCGTGCATTTCACTCCAATTTGAAGCTTTATAAGGCAGGTCATTCAAAAAACACCATAGAACACAAAATTGACTGTGACAACGCGGAGAAAACATGCCACGTCTAACTGAACAGCAACGAGGAATCGCCGTTGGAATGTTGCAGACCGGATCCACACCAACTGCAGTGGCCAGGCACTTCAGATGTCACGTGACAACAATCACAAGACTATCCGCAAGGTATCGTCAAACCGGTAATGTTCGAGACCGACCACGTTCAGGACGTCCCAGGGTAACAACGCCAGCGCAAGATCGTCACATCCGGGTTACTCATCTGCGTAATCGACAGCAACGAACAACACAGACGGCTGCAACCATTCAAGGGCCACAACGTCACATCTCTGCAGACACTGTTCGTCGTCGTCTGAGGGCAGCAGGGATCAGATGTCGCCGTCCTTACGTCGGACCGATTCTGACGCAACGTCACCGCCAAAATCGTTTACAGTGGGCGCGACAACACCAGCGTTGGCGACGTCAACAATGGCAACAAGTGTTGTTTTCTGATGAGTCCAGATTCAACTTGTCCCACGCCGATGGCCGATTACGTGTATGGAGACGACGTAATGAACGTTACGCTAACTGTTGTGTTGTGGAAGCTGACCGCTGGGGAGGTGGAAATCTCATGGTATGGGGTGGCTTCAGCTACCACCACAGAACACGTTTACACGTGTTTCGTCAACGTGTGACTGCTGTAGTCTGCAGAGACCAGGTCCTTCAACACCACGTTGTACCGCTATTCCAGGCCCAACCTCAGCTCCAGACGTTCCAGCAGGACAATGCTCGTCCTCACACTGCACGGGTCTCTATGGACTTCCTCAGAGGGAACAACATTGCTGTACTTGCCCTGGCCCTCTCTGTCCCCGGATATGGCACCAATCGAGCATGTGTGGGATGAAATTGGTAGACGGACACAGACAGCTGCTCAACCTCAAAACCTTAGAGATTTGGAAGCCAGATTGGTCAGGGGAATGTAATCAAATTCCCAAGCCTTCATTCAGACACTTGTTGACTCGATGAGACGTCGTTGTGCTGCCTGCATTGCAGCCAATGGTGGTCACACGCGCTACTGATTGACACACTGTTTCGTGACATATTTGGTGTGTGAGGGTGGAGTGATAACATATGCTTTTACAGTAAACTTGAGTGTTGTTTTCGCCAGAGATCACGACTCATTTCTTCAACAACCACTTGTCTGTCGTTTTTCGTAGTGTTAAGATTGTTTGTTCCATAGATTCAGAAATATTGACATTTCTAAATCAACTTGCGTTTCTTTTGCGGTTCAGTATATATTGTCTTTTAGTGAGTCATTTCGATTTAACTCTGAATTGAACAATATTCCAGTTGTCTCATTGTACGTCAACTGACGTCAGAGGTTTTGCTGTTGCTGGTAAACAGACGCTACAATAACAAAAACGGTATGATTCACGAATAATTCAAATCGGGTTATTAATTCTTTGAATGTTAGGGCTTACATGTGGGTACGTTTGTGTAGCAAATATATCCAGGTTTGGTACTTTGAAATGAAAGTGGTTAATTCAGATTGATTGATCCATTCAATGAGCGCAAGAGAATTTTACCCGGTGGAAAAGAGGCTTGGTCAACAAGACCACTTTAATTTGAATTGTTACGCATACTGAGCACATGTGCATGTTGTATCTGCAATTTGTTGTATCTGTAAATATGGGACTGACATGCATGCTAAATTTGTGTTGTTATTTCGTTATTGTTTCCATTTCTGTACGTTAGGTTACACTTTAGCAAATGTAGCTGGTTTTTGTGAGCAATTGCTATATGTGGGGTTCATCAGTGAGAATGTTAAATATATTTTTACAGACACGTATGGATGTGCTGTGTTTCTGAAGGGAACCCAGTGGCCAGAATGAATCAATTTTATCAGTTTTTATCATTTAAGTAAACGTAACATTAGGATCTCTTGTTTTCCAATTTGGAACGTAAAAGTTCTTCCAGAAATCGTTATGTACAGAAGTAAATTTTGAAATCAGTAAATGACCATGCAAGGTCGATCAGATTATTAAACAGACACAATGTTAACTTTGCAATCAAACCTAGCAATCAAATAAGACCGTAAATTGGTAGACACACGTATATCCAGAATTACTGTAGAATTTCTCTCCGTTATTAAAGTTCTTGATAATTTAGGTTGAGAGGATTTTGGAATTTTCAGATAGGTATTCGATACACACTTAGCAAATGAACACAATTCAAGTCGAAAAACGCATTTAATCGCTGCTTGTTGATAGGGAGGGCCAGAAACAAACCGTTTCTTTACGAAACGTCTCCAACGATTAAACCTGTCATATTAACAAGTGCGATAACTCTTTGCCTTTACTTGACCTTTACCAGCTGTTCAGTTGTGGGCCCGGTTGTTCAAAAGCCTGTTAAATTTTAACGGACCGTTAACTAGTCCTTAACGGTCCGTTAACGTTAACAGAGCAAAAGCCTGTTGCTCAAAGTGCCGTTAACCTTTAACGACCCGTTAAGCCCACGTTAACTTAACGGAAGGGGAGGGGGTACATTAGCTCACTAACATTACCATTAGCATCAGTTCTAGGTCTAGCTCCATGGTGACAACATGGCGTTTATTGTCCAGCCGAATGCAGCATTCATGAACATTAGACCACAAAGAAAACTTAAGGAATTCAGGAATTTTTCTGTTGAGTTTAATGAAATGGAATTACACCAAAGATACCGATTTCGAAGAGATTCCATTGACTACATAATATCTTTGGTTCGTGATGATGTGGAGAGAGACACAAAAAGGAACCATGCTCTCACTGTAGAGATGCAGGTGCTAGTCACCTTGAGGTTCTTGGCCAGCGGTAGTTTCCTACAGGTTGTGGGAGACACGGTTGGCCTTGATAAGAGTACAGTTTCGAGGACTGTTGATAGAGTGTGCGATGCTCTTGTTCGAAAGCGGCATCAGTTTATCAAGTGGCCAAGCGTACAAGAGAAAGACAAGATAAAGAAGGGCTTTTTTGAGATTGGAGGTTTCCCTAATGTCATCGGTTGCATTGATGGTACCCATGTCCGGATTCAGGCACCCACCCAAGATGAGCCTGCTTATGTCAACCGTAAGGGCTGGCACAGCATAAACGTGCAGGCTGTTTGTGACGATAAAGGTATGTAAACAACACCTTCACAGTTAAACTTACTTGCAATGTTTACTTGTTTCAAAGTGTGTCAAGTAAAGCCGATATATCACTTCAGTGTACATGATTGAAAACTGTCATCTGTTTAAAATGAAAACAGAATGTGAGAGTGAGCTCCCTTGGTATAGTCTGTATGATAAAAGTAGAGGTAATGCTTATACTCATTTATAGCATGACAAATATTTTTATAAGAATTGAGATTGGTTTTTCCAGAAATTCAGTAGGAATGAATTTACATTTTGCATGATTATTACTTCAAATCTATAAATTGAATTTAAGAAAAAAAAATTATATATATATATGGGGTTTTTTTAACAGGAAATATAACCAACTTGTGTGCCAGCTGGCCAGGCTCCACCCATGACAGCCATATATTTAGGACATCAAATCTGAGACAACACTTAGAAGCCAACCACACCAGAATTTCAGATGGGTTTGTCCTTGGAGATAGTGGATATGCATGCCGGTAAATTTTCATATCTTACATGAAAAAACTTACAGTTTAAATCTAATTTGCTTGAAAGCCTAAATTCAAGTTTTTGGCTAATAATTATTGCTCAACGAGTCAAATGTAGCTTTCCATACATGTAAATTATGATATGGTATTTTTCTAGTGAAGTGAAATATTTTTTTTATTTCAAATTAGTCAGCATTTCCAATGAATGCCTCCTTCATACTGATGTTGTGTTTGCAGACCCTACTTACTCACTCCCTACCTTCACCCACAAGGGAACCCTCAACAGCGGTATAACGACAGACTGTGTAGGACCAGAGTCACCATAGAGAGGACCTTTGGCCGATTAAAACGAAGGTTTCATGTTCTGCATTCTGAGGTATTAAGATATAATAATAATGCACTTGTATAGCACCTAATTTCCAATCGGTGGCTGCTTAGTGGTGCTTCACAAGGTTAAAAATAAGAATAAAATAACAGAGTTATTGGTTGAAGAGAAATTGCATTTCCTCACAATTGATTTAAAGTAAGGGCAGATAGCAGTTTAAAGGAAATGTAATATTTTCAGTAAGATATGTAAAATATCATATTTCTATGATAAAGTTTTCAATACATAAATAATGTCTGATTGCTTATTTGATTTTTAAATAGCAAATAATGTGATATGCTTTTTAACTTTGTTTTAGATCCGTATGAACCCAGGAAAGGTGTGCAAAATTATATTGACCTGCGCAATATTGCACAACATAGCTATCTTTCGGAGTGAGGTTCTTGATGTCGATGATGCCCATGTGAGACAGGACCAGCCACCCATTGACCACTACAGAGGACGGAATGACGGCAAGGCTATCAGGGATCATATAGCAAGTACTTTCTTTGCTAACTAGGTAAGTAGAAGGTTTTTTATAAATATAATCTGTATTAAACACCATGTTTAGGTCAGTTCAAGATTACCTGTGTATTAATTTACAGGGATATGTTAAAAATTTTGTAATAAACAAGCACAACTGAAACATTACATATGTATGAAACAAATATATTATTTTTTATAATATCTATATTTACTGAATCTAATTCAAAATAGCTTTGTCTTTAAGAAACAAAATCACAATGACATAAGACATGGTCAAAGTGAGATAATGGCAAAGGTGTGATGTAGGTGGATTGTCTCCCTTTGATTAAAACCAATAAAGAGACTCAGGAATTTTAACTTTTGATACTTGTTATAAAATTACACTGGCTAAGTTGATTCATAAATGAAAAAGAGTTCATTTTGAGCAAATGAATATTTTATTAAATGATATTGAGCACTATTATAATTTGATATGAGTGTTAATAGTTAATAGTAGTTTGTATATACAGATAGAGTAATATGGAAGAAAACAATTTAAGTAGATTTACCAGCTAATTCACTTAATCATTATCAACAAACTATTACATTAACAATGACATCATTAATTGTGACATTATTAATGCAGCATAGACATCAGAAGCTGTGTTGGATTAAGGTTAATGTCCAAATCATTCTGAGCCAACAGGCGATGAAGTAGTTCAATCTGTAGTTTCAACCTCTGCTTCTCTAATATCAGTTTTTCTTTTTTCAGACTCTGGTTCTCTCTCTCTCCTGCTAAGACCTGGTACTGCATATGGAGTACATCATCATTACTGTGCTTAGTCTTCCTGGATTTTCTCAGTCTGCCCTGGATCTTCTCTGTCTGCACTTCATCTTGCCTGCTTGATGGTGGAATTTTAGAACATTCAATTGGTGTATCCATGGGTGATGCTGGTAGTTTGACGCCAGATTCAGGATCAGTTGAAATAGTTTGCTGATTATTTGTAGAAAAAGATACTAATTCCATTGCTTCCATATCTTCAAGATTGACTGTTTCTGTAATTGACAAGTGTTACATTGCATCAGATTTAAATATACTAATATAGTGTAATGTGTCATACAACTCATTGTTTACAAATTAATACTTATAACGTTCAATTTAGTAACTGATTTTTTTAATCTGCAACATGATGTCTTGTTATTTTCATCATTAGTTTCTATATTTAGAATCAAGAATTTAAAAAGTAATTAAAAATTGTTAATCAGTTTCATATCATTATTATATTTTCTTTCATAAGAAATGAAGTTGTACAGAATAAATACATTATCTGTTATAGATTTGTATATTTAATGCTAATATAATGTCTTCATTCACAACTTTCATACATTTAATAAAATCTTTTATTCAGTTCAAGTGAATACATTCTTGTTTTGTGTGTTATCATGACTTAGTAGTCATTAGATATATTGCTACCTTTGAAGCTGTGAAATTACTGATTTTTTCATTTATGGTCATTCACAATCATAATGGATTTGTTATCCTAGTTGAAATTATAATGTAACATATGTATTTTCATTCTCCATGCATTAAAACATAACCTTGATGAAATACAAGACATATATTTATTTCTATTTTTCAAATAAATCTGTGCTATTAAATTGCACAGGAGCAGTGTCATGGATTGAGTGGATGCCCAATCTCTGTCTTGAGAAATTTTATTCACAACGGAAAGCCGGAATGTTAGTTTATATTTTTTGAAAAAAATCAGTATCTTAATTTAGATCATTCACATCACTATTGACGCAAAACAACTGCCAAAATTAAATAATAGCAATCGTAATGTTTAGTAAAATCAGTAACATCAGTCTACTAGTGACAGGCAATCTATAAATAGGATCACAACACTCCCTACGGAGCGATAAATAAGGCTCTTCCAAACACCACCGTCGACAACCCATACTAAATCACCGGATGTGGGGAGCGGCAACAGTTACGCCTATGGGATCTTACGATGACATCAACGTTATGTTTGGAGAAAACACTTGATAATTTTGTGTTTGATAGATGAAAACATCATTTATCACTCAAGGTTAGTAAAATAAAAACTTTAAATGACATTTCAGTCTACGAAATCACAGTCTCCCACATTAATGATGAAAATTACGTTTTTGTCTTACATCGTTGAAAACCGGGATATTTCATCATGCCTAACATTTTTTTATCATCTGCATACTATGAAATATTAATTCATTCAATTACATGTAGTACAAATGTGGTGGGATAGAAAATTATAGGTAATTAGTAGTATGTAAACTTTTCTGAAACAGGCTAGTAATTATAGTCTGAATGGATAACTGAGCTTCAAGGGTGGCGCTGATTGTCACTTCCTCTTCCTCTCAAAACATGTTAGCATGGACGCTACTGTTAAAATATTGGGAACAAGCTGTTAGTTTACCACAATATAGCATGAATTGGTAAGTTTAATACTTAGGAGTTGTTTGCGAGTTGTTTCTTATTAGTTTTATGACAGTTTTAAGCATATATCTTACACAATTTAGATCGATGGTAAGCGATGGTTAGATTAAATTTGACCACATAGTGGTACTAAACATCGAATTTGCACATTTTATGCCAGGAAAATCAAACTTTATTTCGCTAAAAATATTGTCAATTGAATGAATTCATCATTACATCAACATGTTCTTATGTTTAGGCCTCTTATTTCTTACCACATGGGCTTATTTCAGTCTCCATCCCTCCAGGAACGCCGCTGAAAGAGGCTGTATCCTTCATGGACTCTATGATGGTTGCCGTTGCCTGGCTCATCTCTAGGGGTGGCGGCCCTCCCCCCGTCTTCCTTTGCTGCATCTTGTAATTACTGAATGTCTTTTTTGCTTTTTGGGCCATGTTTCCCCATTTTTCCTTGACTTGATCGACAGTACGGAAGCAAACGCCTTTGTTGTTTACACAATCTGTTATTTTCTGCCAGATTGCAGCCTTGCCCTTGTTAGTGACCTCATTGCTGAATTTTTTATTAAGGATCTCAGCATTTTCTTGAAACATTGCCTGAATTGCATTCTCTTCTTCAGCACTGAAATTTTTTCTTCTTTTTCTTTTTTTACAGTCAGAGGTTACTGGGGTCATTTCAGGTGCTTCTTGTTGCGATGCCATTTTGACAGGGAATCATGGGACAGTATGCAAGGAATTGTGGGTAATGGTTAGGTCCTTAACAGGCTGTTAACCTCTAATCATACCATTAGTTAACGGCCTGTTAAAAACACCTTCCAGCAACCAAATTTTAACGTACTGTTAACTAACTTTTCGTTAGCTATTTAACGGGTCGTTAGTGTTTAACGGTACGTTAAAATAACGGTGCTTTGAACAACCGGGCCCACCTGATGAAGGACCTGGAATGGTCTCGAAACGTCGTGAGAGAAATTAAAAAAGAAGTTTAATCCATAAAAATATCTTGGACATCAATGTACAACTTCTAAATGCCACTGAAAGAAAACAATAAATTACCAAAAGGTGCAAAGTACATTTTATACCGACAAACAGAGACTAAGATCCGGGTTAGAACTGGTCTTCAGTAACCCATGCTTGTCGTAAGAGGCGGCTAACGGGATCGGGAGGTCAGGCTCGCTGACTTGGTTGACACATGTCATCGTATCCTAGTTGCGCAGATCGATGCTCATGCTGTTGATCATTGGTGTGTCTGGTCCAGACTCGATTATTTACAGACCGCCGCCATATAGCTGGTATATTGCTGAGTGTGGCTTTAAACAGCAAACAAACCTTAATTTCCGCTTATCCTCACATTGTAGGTACCTCACACCACCTTCTCAACAAGTTTTCGATTAGTAATGGGAGTCATTTGAAACAACCTGTTTCCAACTTAAAATGGTTAGAATTGGTCTTCAGCAACCCTTGCTTGTGAGAGGCGACTAACGGGATCGGGTGGTCAGGCTTCCTGACTAGGTTAATGCACGTCGATTTATTACCCAATTGTGTCAATCGATGTTTATGACCTCTGTCAGTGGTCAAGGTACGGTTATTTACAGACCGCTGTAATACATAGAATACTAAGAATACTAGAATACTAATACTGGAATAATACGAAGTACGGCGCTAATTACACACAAACAGGGAATCACACATCAACAGGGATCTGTCAATATTGTTCTAATGCGGGCATTCAAGTGTCAAGATTGCTTTGCAAAATAACATTAACTGTGTAAACACTGAAAGAAACGTCTCCTCAAGATTCCCATGGGCATTGATCTCAAACGTGAGGAGTTCTTTTCTCAAAACCAATAGCACCGGCAAAGATAGGCCGTTGACTATGAAACTCGACAGAAACAATGGACCAATGTGTAGATATGGTGATTGTCTTTATTTATTTTTAATAGTAACCGCAGGGACCATGATTGATTTTTGTCAAAATAAACCCAGACTAATAATCGCAAATTACACATTGAAAAATACAATCAATTGTATTGACGCAGGCTTGATAAATAACACAACAATGCTATATCATCACAGGTGAGCACGAAACTGATTCGATCCCTCATATTAGTACGATGTGTGCAGACCAATACAAATGATATTAACAATAATTATAAGCGCGTTTCTATTGCGCTAAACTCTATTCACTAGATGAGTGCTCATAGCGCTAACATTCAAAGCATAGCACATTATTACCCCGGATAAACCAAGCTGCCTGTTACGGGCTAGAAGGTTATAGTCACATGACTTATATCATCTGGGGCGGTGTAGCCTAGTGGTTGAAGGCGTTCGGTCGTTACGCTGAAAACCCGGATTCGACTCTCCACAAGGGTACAATGTGTGACGCCCATGTTTAGTGTCCCCTGTCGTAATATTGCTAAAAGCGGCGTAAAACCATACTTATTCAGTCACTCACCGCTTATCCCACCGGGTACCCATTTTCTGCTGGGTGAACAGAGGCAATTTTGAACAAACTCATTTGCCTAAGGTGAGACCACGCGTATCACATGTGCTTCGCTGTGGGGCAGAATTGAAGTCCAATAAACTCTAAGGAGTCAAGCTGTCAAACACGGTCACCCATAGAAGGACTCCCCGTGCTCAACGTTGTTTAACTTCAACGGATGTGTGACCTGTGCTCTATGCACAGGACCACACACCGCCACCACCATCATACGGCTGAAAATATTCTAATATTGCTACCTGTATTTAGATGATAAAGCTACTCTGTTTTCAATTTTGCGGTCCTTTATCGTTGATTTAAGACCGCTAAATTAAACATTTAGCGGTCTTAAATCAACGATAAAGGACCGCAAAATTGAAAACAGTGTTTTATTTCTGGAACTAGTATGCTTGTATTTGTAACAAGTAGCATACATAAATAAATAAAAACACAGTTTATACTGTGAGCAAGTACAATTATTTGATTTTTCTCAAGCGAATTATTAATCTCTCCTACTGTATGGCAATCGACTCGTCCAATTCAAGCCGTGAAGTCGCTAAGTTTACTCGCCGTTAACTTTATTCACGGAAATTTTTAATAACTGTTGATAACCACCCTACTATTCCCAATTTGGAAAAGACCTGACATGCCACGTTTTATGTGGGATACATGGACAGTGGAAGTGGAAGGACTGGGCATTACGGCCGGTTCGAAAGCGGTCAGGTTAGGACGTGTGGGCCGACGTGTGTTGTCGACGTCAACACACGTAGATCTGGACCCGGTTTGTATATATACTGCCGCTTTTGCGCTGCTGACGGATTTTCCAGCTTCGTAGTTTCTTCACTGGGATTAGGTTCAAGAAATTCTCCATCAAACCATTCGCTTTTTACTTAAAAAAACCCCACAGATGCTGCCGAGATAGAAATTGCCGATGTCCGACATGTTTGTTTACAAACGATAAGGTCAACGAGTTCGTTGTATTCATACGCGGTGAATCGGTCCCTTTAATTAGCGGTCTTAAACTGCCATTTAAGTACGGTTTTGATGAACTCTCAGCCAATCAGAATCGAGTATCACACAATGTCGTGCTAGAATCATACTTCCAGAATGCTAGTAGATATGTGTTGTAAACATGTTAGAACGTATATCTTTACCTAGTGAGTGATATCAGGTGCGACCACCAATTAGAGACAATATGCCCTTGGTACAAGGATTACAGAAATGATAATAACCAATTATGCTGATGTATGCTTGAAACTTTCACATTACCTGATCACAAATACGAAGAATACTATAAACGTCAGTATTGATCAAAGGGACAGAGGTCCAGGTTTGATTTCCCTCAAAATTTTGCCTCCCTTACCAATGCCGAGATCCGCTTCTGGTATAAATTGATCCCATGTCAACGCGACGTAGATCGCAGGAGAGTAACCTTTAGTGAAATGAACCAACGTCGATTACGGCACTGTCGAATATCAATTATCACATCGAGCCGAAAGTGGGATTAAAATACGAGCGGATCTTTGCGTTGTTAAGGGAGGTAACTATTACAAATTCGTACGGCTCAGACCGTTTGGCCAATCATGCTTCTATTACAGCTGAAGAGAATAATGATTCCAGTCTGCATTGTCCTCGTAGACTGTAGACTCCTCGTGGATGATCTCGCAAGAATTGACTGTACTTTGGTGGTTGAAGTTAAAGTTGTAACAGTCGTAGTCCTCAGAACATAACAGAGCACATCGTTCAAGAGTCGTTCCTAGTAAGGGAGAGTCAGCGTTGTTGGCGTTCATCCGTTTGTTAGGTGTCCGGCGGTACTCTGAATCTGAAAAACGATTTGGATCATGAGTGAGTGAATATTGATTTACAATGCACTGAAGAGTATTAAGGTGGTAAGCTGGTGCACAATAACACTGGCCACACAGTATAGTCCCCGATAGCAAACTGGTGTAACTAGAAACAAGTATTGGCCTCCAGGAATCCCCATGGGTGGGCAAAGGAAAAGTCTCATCATAAACACTCTTGATTTGTAGATCGTTATTTCGTCCATTGGTGATGTGCTTTGCAGCATTCAAGGTTCAGTGGGACTCTCGGAGGATGTCATGATAAACATGAGGTGGTCGTTTTCGGATTTGAAATATCGGTATTTCTATCGGGTGGACAGGTGACTTTCCTTTGCGTGTGTTTATGACAAGTGTCATCGTTTGGACAGGATACTGTGACCTTTTTGCAAATAATTGGATCAGTTTGCTACATCAATCAACTTATCATTGACTGACTTCGGCTTCTGTATACAAGATTGCTGTTGTTTGAATCTCATGGGACCAAATTTTCTTCTCGAGTCATCGTGTGTATTTATGAGACGAATTCGTGTAACCGGTATTCAAATGATGATAACTGTAACAGGGAATGGTCGGGGCTGACAGGTACTTCGAGTTATGCATAATGTTCGAGACACCGGCATTCGACTCATCGGGAATTGACTGTACCTGGTATCATCACTATTTGACAGATGTTGCTAAGCAACAGCCTTATTGTTACACGGAAAAGATAAAATTATTAGGCAGGAATATCGCAACAATCACAAGTTTTATCGTTTAATATGGCAATAGTCATGCTTGTAAGGTATGGATATAGAAAAAAGATGTACTTGTTCAGCATGATTTCTACATACCTCTTGATGCCTGGATATGGAAACGATTAATATGTAAATCATATTAATACATGAATATAGCAACACACATACCTGTTATGCATGAGTCCGGTCCGTACACTTCGAGTTCGCAAATTGTAAATCTGTCGTCCCCGGGATTCTTGAATTTACGTCTTAGTTTGACATAACGTCCCGTGAACACCGTGGTACAAGGCAGAGTCACTGGTGCGCCTGCAAGGACCACGCCCTCGTGATCTAAGCATAGCCGAGGCGGTTGTGAGGGGTACTTGATGGGGTCATGCTCATACACTTCCACAAAGAAGTCATGAAGACGTGTTTCTGGAAAAAAGGGGAGAAAGAACTAAATTTACACCAATGAAATCGGACATTTATCTGCAATAAATTGTGTCAACACGTTTTTGTGACCCAAACCTTTAAATAGCATACATAAGGCGCAGCTATACTACATACATAATTGAACAAGTGCCTCTTACGCCGAGTTCGGAGCAAACTTAAACATGACGCATTGAATGTCTGTTCAGTTTCTTTGATAACAGAAAGTAATGGCGTGTTTTG